AAACACCTCACATACTTATAGTTATTTTGTATAAATTAAGGTCAAGTCACATATCAAATAAATTAGCAAATGATTACACGGCAACACCAGACAAATAACCACAGGCCCTGTCTTGATGTATGGATATGTGTCTTATAAGCTCTTTTTTTCAGGGAAATACAGAAGGAAAGACAGAACAGAAGAAAGGAAAAATAGAAGAATAATAAAATCAACTAAATAATATGAATAATACAATTATTAGGCATTGTGATGTGGTGAACATGTGTAGACTATTGAGGCTGCGTACTGTACTTCCCCCTTAATGGTGGGCATGTGTTGTGTGTGAGCATGTGTGTGTTTGTGTCTTTCTGTGTGTTGGGGAAGATAAAAGCAACACATCAGGTGGTAGAGATGGAAGAGAGGAGAGGTGGGAGCAAAAGGAAGATTGATGGGGGGAAGGTTGTTGTTTGGTCAACGCAGGTTGGGCCGCCGTGCACCGTGAGCAGAGCAAAGGAAGAGGCAGTGGAGCCCCCAGGACAGCGCCCCCCCATGGCAGACCACACCGAACTGCTACCCCTGTCTAGGATAGAGTTTGTTTGTCTTTTTTCCCCTTTAGTCTGTATGAGTAGGAGAGAACACTGATCTGGTGTCATGCATTAGAAGAAGCAGGTCCTGCCGGCTGGTCCAGCCCAGAGCAGGAGAGATCAGTAGGCGGGAAAGCGGCCAGCGGAGGCCCAGACCAGCTTGGAGACCCATCCTCAGGACACTGGATGACCCAACGCCGGTGGTGCGATTAGGAGGCTGGTTATGTCAACATTGGTTGAAAGAAGTAGAGAAAGAAAGAAGAAGAAAGACAAGACTGTTCTGTTCCGTTGATCTGAAATATCTTACGAACAAGTGTTTTACCTGCTAACGGAGTTTACAACTGCTGTTGCGCTTGCAGTGTACATACCTCCAGATGCTAATGCTAGGCTAGCCATGAAAGTACTTCATGTGGCTATTAGCAGACAGGAAAATGCACACAGGAATGGAGCCTTTATCACAGCGGGGGAATTTATTCGATCCAGCCTTAGAACTGAACCAGGACGTCTCCATCAGAGGAGAGAATACCTTGTATCATGTCTGTGGTAATATTGCAGACACTTAGCAAGCCATTACCCTCCCCTGCATGGGACAGTCTGACCCTCTGGCTGTTTTACTGCCCAAGTATCCAACCATCATCAAGCATGAGAAACCAGCAGTGAGGATCGCTAAAGTCTGGCCAGCTGATTACTTTCTGCAGCACCAGTCTGACCACACAGATTGGACAAAATATATTAGTTTTAAGTCCCATACAGACACTGATCTAAACACATCCTCAGTACTGGATTATATTAACAGCTGTGTTCATACTGTCACCACCTGCAAAGTAAGAATATTTCCAAATCAGGAGCCCTGGATGAACATAAAGGTAAATCTTCTTCTGAAAGCCAGAGATGCAGCTTTCAGATCCGACCTACAGCACATCCGGGCTGACCTGGAGAGGGGCATCGAACCAGCAAAGCACAGCTATAAACGGGAGACTGATTAAAACTCCACCGACACTCTGAGCCATGATGCATGTGGCCGGGCGTTCAAGCCATCTGCTCCCTCCACCAGCAATGCCAACCAGCTTCACCACTTCTATGTTAAGCTTATGGACAATAAAGAAACTGTCACCAAAGCCCTCAGCCCCAGGAAGACTGAGGAGCTCACTGTGGACTTCAGGAGACAGCAGACACAGCCCCCTTCGCATCAGAGGGACCGAGGTGGCGCGTGGGTTGGATGGGGTACCAACTTGTTGCAGAGCACTCACACCATTCACTGACACATGCACACTTATGGCCAATTTGGTAACTCCAATTAGCCTGATTAATTGGCATGATTTTGGAGTGTGGGGGGAAACCACAATACCTGAAGCAAACCCCACGATGACACGGTGGGGGGGACATGCAACCTGCACACACATGGAGCCACGGCGGAGACTCAGGGTCGGAGGTCACAGTGTGCCACCGTGCCGCCTCGTCATTGCAAACAGGAGGTGAAAAAAACAACTGTCCTAAAGTAAATGATTCTCATACTGAAGTTGGACATGATTGTTTTAAAGAAAGTCACTCCATCACTTACCACTAGATCTCCTGAGCAATAAAATGAAATGGATATAAGCAACATATTTTGATGTTAAGTTTACTTTACAAGTCTGTGACCTACTTACCCTTGATTGTACATGTCAAGGGCCATGCCCACACAACATTTGCTGACTTATAGAAAGAATTACCAATTTAATTGTTACCTCAGATCCTGGCCAGCTTATATCGGTGTTGGTGTACCACCAAGAGCATCCTGACCAGCTGTATCACAGTGTGGTATAACAGCTGTTCTGTACCCAACTGGAAGGCCCTGCAGTAGATGGTGAAAACTGGCCAGTACATCATGGGTGCCCAGCTCCTCCTCCCCCCCCCCCACTTCATAATTATCACACATGTATCACTACAGCTGTTTCTTGCAGTTTTGCACTATTTTTTATTTTTAAATGTCATGCTGAATTCTATTGTCTGAGTTATTGTACTTTGTGCAATAAGAATGAAGTTGAATCTCATCTATTCTGATCTCATTCCACAGTTGTAATTGGGCAGGCCCAATTAACCTCGGTAGATTTTTGGACTGTGGGAGAAAACCTGAGCACCCAGGAGAAACCCCATGATGACATGGGAGAACATGCAAACTCCACACACGGCCGTGGCGGAGACTCAAACGCTGGTCCCAGAGGTGAGAGGCAACAATGCTAACCACTGCACCACCATGTCATCTTCCTATTACAAACAGGAAGCAGAAAGACAATCATCCCAGAGTAAGTGATTCTCACCTGGAGGCCCATCAGAGGATGAAGAGGAGCATCAGAGGAGCCTTATGTGTGTCTCACTGACCTCAGATCTGTGGAGACTCACACTCACACCTTGGTTCTCCATAACTTTGCTTCTTCTCTATGCTCACATATAGCAGTCACAGTAAAGAGGGAAGGGTCACTTTATACATCACACAGGAAGTGATGCAACCACTGTGATGTTTCATACATAAAGGGGTCCCGTGTCCTCAGTTATATTCAGGTTTTCAAGGTTTATCAATCATAAAATGTCACATATCATGCGTCTGACTCTGACACTATTATATTTCTGTGTTGAAATCAAGTTTAAGTACTATATGTTACAGTCAGATGGTGGATCTGTTTGCTCTTTATTCCTCACTGGCATACCTGGGTTTCTCCTTTCTAGTGCTGCGCTTTAATATCAGATCCCTTTATTAAAGAATCTCCTACGTGTGGCTGCCCTCTAGAGGATAAACAAAATTCAGCTACTTAAGTCAANTTTTTGGACTGTGGGAGAAAACCTGAGCACCCAGGAGAAACCCCATGATGACATGGGAGAACATGCAAACTCCACACACGGCCGTGGCGGAGACTCAAACGCTGGTCCCAGAGGTGAGAGGTAACAATGCTAACCACTGCACCACCATGTCATCTTCCTATTACAAACAGGAAGCAGAAAGACAACCATCCCAGAGTAAGTGATTCTCACCTGGAGGCCCATCAGAGGATGAAGAGGAGCATCAGAGGAGCCTTATGTGTGTCTCACTGACCTCAGATCTGTGGGGACTGACACTCACACCTTGGTTCTCCATAACTTTGCTTCTTCTCTATGCTCACATATAGCAGTCACAGTAAAGAGGGAAGGGTCACTTTATACATCACACAGGAAGTGATGCAACCACTGTGATGTTTCATACATAATGGGGTCCCGTGTCCTCAGTTATATTCAGGTTTTCAAGGTTTATCAATCATAAAATGTCACATATCATGCGTCTGACTCTGACACTATTATATTTCTGTGTTGAAATCAAGTTTAAGTACTATATGTTACAGTCAGATGCTGGATCTGTTTGCTCTTTATTCCTCACTGGCATACCTGGGTTTCTCCTTTCTAGTGCTGCGCTTTAATATCAGATCCCTTTATTAAAGAATCTCCTACGTGTGGCTGCCCTCTAGAGGATAAACAAAATTCAGCTACTTAAGTCAATGTTAATACATTTAACCTTAGTATGTCTCATGGTTTCACAGTGAGGCTTGACTGTATTTCCCTCCTCAATGATCAGTTTAATCTAGCTGGTGAAGCTGAAGGCAGAGCGGGAAATTAGTTTAGTCATGACTTCAGAAGTTACCCTGACCAGGGATTCTGTACAATCAGAGATGGAGCTGCTGGTTGGGCTGGTCATCGCCTGCTTTTTCTGACTGATGTAGGTCGGAATGTAAAGTTTCAAACTGATTAATATGTATTAATCTGTTTTATAATGTTCACACAAAAAGGTTTTTTTTTTCTTTTTTTTATGTTTGCACCTTATATCTCCTACAAAGTGCTTGTGTATTTGATTCCCCTTGATTGGGGTAAAGAGATATAACTGGAGAGAGAGACAGAGAGAAATTTATATAAAGACCTATTCAACAATTGTATTGCTGTTGTTGTTGTTGTTTTATTATAGAGTAACTTATAGTACCACACAAATCAATCCAAACTACTGTCTCACCAAACGAGTGCAAATGCTGCAAATAATTGTTTCATTTGATGCATATGTACAAAATATGACCTACCGGAAAGCATAAAGCAGAGGAGTCGAAGATTTCCCTCCGTTTCAATATCTATGCAGAACGATTTTAGTAGGCAAAAAAACAGCACTACAGAAATCAATCCGTGTGTATTAAAGAACTAAAATTATAACTTTTCGAGTTCATTGTCAACCAACTGCCCTATGAAACATGAGACCACTTATTTGTATTAGAGTGCACCGTATAATATTAATAGAATTTCGAGGTTATACAGTTGCAATAACATGAATCGCATTTTCCGGGTGCCCTGATTGTCACACACAACAGCCAATAGAATCAAAGGCGGGTGGTTAAATGCAAAACGTCTGGCCAATAGTAATAGGTCTCAGACACGTGGGCTGCCAACGTGAGAACGTGAAACACATGGGAGTATATGCTGCGGAGTATAACTGTTCATGCTATTTACTACAAATATTTTATTAAATATTTAAACGTAACTTTACCTGTTTATGTTTCTGTATGTGCTAAAGTGTAACGCTGCTATTTTACACTCATCACTGTATGCGTTTTATTTTAAAAGGTAAGCATAACGGGCTAGTCAAAGATAAATATGAACTATATAGGTAGTGTTGTTTTTTTATGTCGGTATCAGGATAGGGATGAATACAAAATGTACGTATTGTTGCTTTTGTTTCTACACAATAAAGGCGACTAAATTGTATTTACGCAGCTTGTTATCCACCCGTGTTAGTTTTCAGAATTTTTTTTTGCACAATGCTGTAAGTAGCTGTAGTATTACCATTAATGTGGTTACATTGTCATTAAGGGTTGATATATAGTATTATACAGCCAATTCGTTCATTTTTTTCTGATGTTATGAATGTGTTAAGCTTAGTTGACTAGTTATTCGTACTTAATCTTTTAGAATAGTTTAGTGGTTTTTCAGGAGTGTCCACTTATATTTTTGAGGCGTTTCATAGGCAGCAATTGAAAATTGTGTTTGTCTTATATTAACATATAACTCCTTATTTGTTCCCTACAGGGCTGTCAAAGTTGGGTTCTCCTGTCCTCCAGTCCAGCTGGGGACGCTACTTGTGTGATGAACCATATGGCACCTCACTATCTTTGAACGCATATTAGCAGATATATGGTCCAGCAATTTCACTGTATGTACAAGATCTAACTTGACCTTATATTTTTGTCAAGGTGGCTGCAGTCCAGCATGTCAGAAATTACATGCACTGTGTTCAGGTTTTCCTATTAAATCTTTGCTTAATAATACACAGATACTACATTATGCCCAGTAACTTTGTGTAACAGTATATAATGGCTAAAAAATAAACATGATTCAGCATCTAAGTCAGGCATATAAGTAAAACCACGCAATTGAATGTTTTAGTAACAATTTAAAGAGCCAATCCCCTTGACAAACTCTAGATGGTCCTCTCATATGTAAAGGTCATGCCCCGGTCAAAAGAGACCTCCAAAGATGTCAGGATGAGTGTTGTAAATGCTCACCAGTCTGGAGAGGGTTATAAAACCATTGCCAAACGTTTCGGGATTCATCGGTCCACCGTAAGAAAAATAGTCTACAAGTGGAAAAAATTCAAGACAACAGAGACTCTACCTAGATGTGGACGTCCGACAAAGTTATCCCAGAGAGCACTAAGGAAGATCATCCAGGATGTGCAAAAGAACCCCAAGACCACATCCAAGGATCTGCAGGCCTCACTTGCTGCAGCTGATGTCTACGTTCATGACTCGACTATACGACGCAGGCTGAATAGCAGAGACGTACACCAAAGGTTATCCAACAGGAAACCTTCCCTCTCGAAGAAGAATACTGACATCAAGTTAGGAAAAACTTGCCAGCATGACATCAGCACATGGGACAAGCAGGTAAAAGCTGGAGAAACCTTCCAAGAGTGTGGGCCGCTGGAGCAGCCCATCAACGTGCAAAACACCTGTGATGAAGACCAAGAGAAACTTGCAAAACCAGGTCCTGACTCAACAGCTTAGAAGCCACAGGTGGAGTTATATAACAAGATATGAATTAATGCCATTGTGTATCAGTGACTGAGGGATGCATTGTATGACCCCTAAAGTTGCAAGTTGTCACAGTAAACACTGTGCTTAACTTTGTTCTAAGTGTGTTATTAGTAAATGAATCAATTTCAGAGAACTTGCTGATTGAGTAATTCTTTTTCTATTGGGGTGTCACTTGCATATTTCATTTAGAAAACATTGTATGTGTGCGCATTTCTGCGTGTGTGTTCGTCTGCATGTGTGTGTGCGCATTTCTGCGTTTGTGCGCATCTGCATGTGTGTGTGCGCATTTCTGCGTTTGTGCGCGTCTGCATGTGTGTGTGTGCATTTCTGCGTTTGTGCGCGTCTGCATGTGTGTGTGCGCATTTCTGCGTGTGTGTGCGTCTGCACGCGCATGTGTTATTCCAGGGACATTCCCTTAATCCCAGCCATGCGAAGTGAGAATTAAACTGGCTCGCATGTCATAGGAATTATGGTGGTATTAAGTTGCAGATAAACACCCTTTCCACTCGTAGTTTTGACTGGGAAATTCTGAAATAATTTTGATACCCGAGTTGCGAAGTTGAGATGACCGGCAACCTTTGAACTATTTATTGAAAATAGGATTTTCCCAAGAAATAAGTCAGAAAAATATTTGCATCTGTCATTTTTCTTCATTTCACTGCGACCACAAAGCACTGGAATATGACATACTCGTAATCCTGACTTCACAAGTTGGAAGGAGGATCTTCCAACATATGAAGGCAACAGTTCAGTTTGTTTTAGTGGTTGAGGAGTATGATTGCACCAATTAAGGGTTTAAGTCAGTTGACTTTATGAATATATTTGCTTTGCTGTTGGGGAAATTAGCTATTAAGACCTTTGCTATGAGGGTTCAACTGAAAAATCACCTGAAATTCAACCCCTTCCCCCATTTTACCTGTTCAGGATCTCCTGTAAAGTGCTGGGCCCCCCAATTCTGCCAGGGGATCCATGTCCCTACTGTGCCCCTGTGTGATATAGCTTCAAAGGGGGTGTGGTTTCTTTACATTTTTAGGGGAAGTACTGTAGTGCATATTCACATAATTACTTATTTTTAGGATTATGAAACATATTTAGATTTATCTGATTACAGAAGGAGATGCATGCAGTAGGTGTTGCAATTAGAAGAAAATGCATTTCTAATGAGCTAGCAAAATGAGGGAAGTAGAAACCAGTAATTTGAAATTGTTAGCCCACAGTGTGGTCACACTTCCTTAGCTGATGTCAGTGCTTGTCACCACATTCCATGTCTCATGGCTATAAAACAGGCCTCCTGCTCAATTGTGGTAAAGGACCTTCCTCTATGTCAAACGTACTTGTCTGACACACTGTTGCACTTTTAATCGTGACACGTGACCATCACAAGGAAGCCGACAGTGACACTCTATAAACAAGAAGCAGGTCTGACAGAGTAGGAGACCCCAAGCCATGAAAATGTTTCCTGCTTCACCAGACTCTCACATGTTAAGTAGTTTATTTCTATAGGCAGGCAGCACAAAGCAGGCGGCGCCGACAGAGTTTCACTCTAGTTTTATAGAATGCTTCTTCCTGTTGTCGTTCTTGGTGGTCTTGGGGTTAGGATTCAATGCTCTCATTGTGGCTTGGGTTTGATTCCTGCTCAGGGAATAAAAGGTTTGTGGGCAGTGGTGTCTTGATGGTGAGGGAATCCCTGCTGTTTCAAATCCCTGACCAGCAAAGCACCACTGAGGTACCCTGAGCAAGGTACTCAGGCGCTGAATTAGCTGCCCCCTGCTATATCACCTGTGGGTTAAATACAAGCGATGCATTTTGATGTTGTGTGCTGTGGTGTGTCAACAATGACCACTGATCTCTAAAAAAAAACCCACCACACCCCCTCATCATCAATGGAGAAGAAGTGGAGAAGGTCTCCTGTTTTAAGTTCCTGGGGATCTTGATCACAGAGGACCTGAAATGGGAGGCCAATACAACAGCCATGGTTAAAAAGGCGCAAAAGCGGCTCTACTTTTTAAGGACACTAAAAAAATGTAACCTGTCTGCCGAGCTGCTTAAAAACTTTTACCGATGCTCCATTGAGAGCGTCATCACATACTGCATCACTGCATGGTATGCCAACTGCACAGACAAGGACAAGAAGTCTCTCAGTTGGGTGATAAGATCTGCGGAGAGAATCATTGGACTTCCCCTGCCCTCTCTAGACAGCAATTTTTAAGACCCGCTGTCTCTGCCGGGTAAACAGCATTTTGCAGGACATAACACACCCCTCATACCCACTCTTTTCCCTGCTCCCATCTGGGAGGTGTTATAGGGCCTTTAAAGCCCGCACCTCCAGCTTACAAAATAGCTTTATTCCCAGGGCCATAGCAGAACTGGACAGACATGCCCCCCCAGCCGTATAGTGCCATTTTAAAAAGGATTCTAACACAATGGGACTCAATTTTTATTTTTTTGTTGTTATTTGCAATTTGTATTTATTTATTGAGTGAGTGTGTATGTGAGTATTGTTTTAGAGGCTGCATAAGCATGACACCAGTTGGCTTATTTGCTTGTGGTAGCTGGACACCATGACACCAGTTGGTTTACTTGCTTACGGTAGCTTGACTCCATGACACCAGTTGGTTTACTTGCTTACGGTAGCTGGACACCGTGAAACCAATTAGCTTACTTCGTTACGGTAGTTGGACACCGTGACACCAGTTGGCTTACTTCGTTACGGTAGCTGGACACCGTGACACCAGTTGGCTTACTTGCTTATGGTAGCTGGACATCATGACACCAGTTGGATTACTTCCTTACAATAGCTGAACAAGTTGTGTCATAGTTGTGGTGCTGAGAGCATTCGATAATTTTCTTAAAATACTTCATAACTACTGAGGTCAGGGCTACTGATCTGTAGTCATTTAGGCAGGTGTTTTTGCTTTTAGGATTTGGAATGATGGTTGAAGATTTGAAGCAGGCGGGTACTGTGCTTTGGCTCAGAATCTTTTTGAAGAGGTCAGTAACGATGGAGGCCAGCGGAGCAGCGCAGTGCTTGAGTGTTGCAGGTGACATGTTGCAGCTGCCTTCCTGATCTGACTCCAGAATATGCCTCTCACTCCATGATCATGGCTGGTGATGGGGGAGGCAGACAAGGTGTCACAGGATGGCTGTGGCCAGGATGGGGGAGGGTGGGAGACATCACTCATTTGGTTTGAAGGGTCTGCTTCCGTGACTGGAGGTATTTCTCTCCTGAGCCTTATCAGCCGTCCTGTCACACTGAGTGCTGTTTGCATTTCTCAGCCCCGACAGACACACAGACACAGACACCCGAGTCCCCAGCCTGCTGTTTCATTACAGAGATTCTAACAGATAAACTTAAAAATTTCTTTGTGTTAAGTCTCGAAAAAACAGAAGTACTGCTAGTTGAACCCAAGGCTGCTCAGAATAAGTTTGACAACCTCAGCCTTGATGGTCTTCTTACTCAGCTTAGCACAAGTGGTCAGAAATATTGGTGTCCTAGCAGATTTAGATCTATGTTTCAATGCCCACATAAGAAGCATTCCTATAACTGTATTCTACCATTTACAGAACATTGCCAAGCTTCGGATGCTGCTCTCCTTTCATGATTCAGATAGACTAATACATACATCTAATACTAGACTAGACTACACTCCAATAGCTCCTCAGCTGTGGAATAGTCTGCCTGGGTGGGTGGAATCAGCAGCACTCCTCCCTGCTCTCCTCTTTACCATGGCAGTGGGCAGGTCCTCTGGTGTTGGCAGCTGACAGCCTGTGAGCTTTTCAGCCGATCGGACCACAGGCTGTAACCTGGTCTTGGAGAGGGAGGAGGCAGCAGGAATGGTGGTGGATGGCAGAGTACAAATGTATCGATCATTTATTAGAACATTTATCAGAACAAATGATGATAAACATGCATAAAATATCTTTCAGCATTAATAAGTAATGTAATATGAATTTTACTACTAAAAAAAATCATTCTTAAACATTTGTACTGCTGTGGTAAGACAACCAACTCAAAATTGAATCGAATGAAAGACTGGATTTAACCAGCAGGTGGCAGCAAAGTGCTTGTGAAGAAGAGGCCATCAGTGGCACAAAGCACTGGCTGTACAGGTTCCCAGCAGACAATCCAACACTGCACATCAACCTCTCTGTGTTTAAATGGCTGGACAGAATGAGAAGGGCCCCCTCAGACAGGTCTCACTGCAGTTAGCATAACTATTTATTTTACTGCTCAGCTTACCTAACACTAACTCCAGGAAAATACGAAATGAATCCAGAAATTGTAAAAACTTTCAAAATAAGCATCTTATCTTAATAAGCTCTTTAATGATTCATTTGTACTTTCATAATTAAATAAAATATGACAAAACATTGTTTTTAATAAAAGAATTTAATTGAATACCAAAAAGCAACATTGCATTTCCTTGTGTAAGTTCTGTAAATAAACAGAATGAAAGCTAATGGGGTACATTTAACCAGCAGGGGGCAGCAAAGCACTAGTGAAGAGGATCCCACCTGCGTATAATTTACGGTACTGCACGTTAAAGTATATAAATATTAATATAACTGGATACACGGTAAACTGTCCATGTGTTCAGGAAGTTTATTTAAAAAGAACGTTATACTGAATACAAAGGATGTGTCTTTAGACATTTGTGCTTGTTTCTTCTGACAGTGGGACTAGTAGCAGGGGAACAAAGAACAAAAAAATAATCACTGAAAATGGACATTTTGTTTATAATAGCTGTTGTGTCCCATCCATCCATCCATCCTCAAAGTGCCAATCCTGGCCAGGGTCATGGGGGCCTGCAGCCTATCCTTCAATGCGGGGGTACACCACGACTGGGACACCAGTCCACCACAGGACAGCACATTATTTATAGTATGCATTTTCATATATATCACTAAAGTTCACCTGGTGTCCCTGAATTTCATTTAACTTTGTTCCTCACAAAGAGTATTAAAAAAATACATGCAATGTTCATTTATTTCATTCTTATAGGACCACTGTTGTATATGTGGTCTGTCATTGACCAAAACGTCATTATGCAACACATGACTTTACTACATTACTGCCTTGCGAAAGTGTCACTATCAAGGTGTTCTGCTGCAATCAGAGCTGTCATCTCCACAACAGAGGACTAACTACACTGGGTTGATAAGCTGTCAACTGCGAAAGAATTGGCATAGATATTGTCAATGTCATCTTCTGATTGGTCAGGAAAGTCATTAGGCTTTTCAAGGTGAAACATTATTGAATTGTCATAGACTTCTTCATCCGTGGCCCATCTTGACTGGTCACTGCTAGAGAGGTACGCGTTTGAGTGAACAGTGTTTTGCATGTTAACGTAAACTTTTTGGTCCTGCAATACAGAACAGTTGGGGGAAAAAATCAGAAAAGAGAAAATTATCCTTCACTCCACAACTGAGCTGAATCAGAAAAACAGAAATAAAATTCTTAAGAGGAAATAAGCATAATATTTCTGGTGGAACTTTAACTGACAGAAAAGTGTCTATCCAGAGCGTGGAATTTTCTGAATCACACTGTGTGTAGAAATCACTTTGGTTTCACACAAGCATCTCACTACTTCCACCCCTAAGCTAGTGAACCTCATATGACAGGCAGCTCAACTTAGCACTAAAGGAGCAAACAAAAAAAAGCCAGTCTTACCACTGACCATTTTCACAAATGCTTAGAGAGGAGCAGGAACACTAAACAGTCAGTACCCCGTCAGAGCTCTCCTGGAGCAAATCTACCATCCTGTCGATATGCAGCAACCCTGCTTGTCAAGCATGTATGTTAGTGTGTGTGGGAAAGTCAACCCTACCTTCATATCTACAGAGCTTGATGAGTCCCTGGATCTTCTACGTTTGGGACAAAACAGACAATTTTAGTTTAAAATAAAAGATATAATGAATGTTACTCAATGCATATATCTCAAGTCTAGAAAAACACTTTGTTACTCAGCTGCAGACCATAATACCCATGAACATCACAGATTAACAATCCCAGGTCCACTCTGCAGTTGTGCCATTGTGCACCTTCATGTTGCTAATAGGGAAACATTGAACTTGGTGTTCAAAAGGACTCTTAAAGAGGCACTGCAGGAATGTTAGCCAACTCCTTTACGCTCAGCTCTGCATGTAGAATGTTATGAATTTTAAACAGTATAACTTTAGAGCTGTCTATCTGCCAATGAACTAGAATATCCCATAAACACAAGAATTTATCCTACCTGCAGAGACATAGGACTAGTCCCAGCAACAGCAGGACCAACAGCAGTCCTCCCAGTCCTGCCAGCCACAGACCTACAGTGGACGTCTCCTCTCCTACAAATGTAAGGTCTGTGCGGGATGGAATTTTAAATCACGCACCCGCAAGATTCTGTCCCACTCCCGCCCGCACCCGCAGAAGCTTGTCATCCCGCTCCTATGCCCATAAAGGAAAAACATTTAGCTTGACTATGCTTATTTTCAGGCTAAGAATAAAGGTGAGCCTCAACAAATAGGCTGTGATTTTCACATAATAATGGGCTAGTCATTCTTTCTAAAGTTTGGTTAATTACTAATAAGAAATTTTATTTGTTCTCAGTTGTATATTTTGTACTGGAGACTTATGTGTACTTTTTAACTGAAAAGGGGTACAGTGATATTTTTATGATTTGGTAGTAGACTGCACAATTTGTGAAAGTTGTTACTGAATAAAACAAAGAAGCAGACTTGTGTAAGTCATGTTGGCCGTGGATTTCTTCCTGTAGCATAGCGGCGCAGCTTTTGTGTGAGGAACATGACCATTATATTTATATTAATACATTATATTACTTAGCATACTCAAAAAACTTCGCCACAACACTACAGCAATTGATATGTATTAATGCTTAGTAGTTGATAAAGGGGTAAAAAATGGTATCGTTATTGGCAAATACTAAACATTTTAATATTGGTATCGATAAATTATATTGTGCCAGATCCCAAACCAGTTTCTACAAGGACAGGCGACATTTCTGAATTTACGCGTGCAAACTCATACTGTGAGGCCTCTGAAGCTTAACGACGTCGTTCAAGTTGTGAACCCCACCCTCTTCCGCAGTGGTACACACTGACCTTTCAACCAGAGCTGGATCACCGAAGAGTTCTGACTGCCGTGGGCGTTCTGAGCCTGGCAGAGGTACAGACCAGTGTGGGCGGGTGTCACATTAAAGGCGAAGTCCTGCCCAAAGCCGAGACGTTCAGCCCCATCTCCATGCTGGCAGAACCAGGCGTAGCTCTCCACGGGCGGGTTGCCGTCGCTGGTGCAGACCAAAGTCACCAGGTCGCCTTCTGTCAGTGGGTCGGGCGCACTGATGGTGGCGTTCGTGTTTCTTGGGGAGTCTGTTCAGAGGTGATGGACATCGGTAAAAGGATGGGATTATGTGACTCCCAAGCTGATGCGATCACACATAAAATCACACATTTTTCAGGTCCCCACAGAAGCCTGTAAATGTGACGTAAAAAGTTTTGTATTTTGTTTGGTTACTTATGGTTAAGGTTAGGGCTGGGTAGGAGTTAAGGGTGTCATGTTGGGATTAGAGTGTTCCCCACATAAACAAATGGAGAGTCCCCACAAAGATATAATTACAAACCTATATGTGTGTATGTGTCTGTATGTGTGTGCGCCTATGTACAGGGATTTGAAACTGAAACACTGGCCAAAACAGTGTTTGAGGTTTCACAACTTTATATGCACAACCTGGTGGCCAAGCTTCACTGATCGCACATTTCATCAGTAAGAGCAGAGTGTGAAGGCTGAATTAGCAGAAAAATAGCACAGCTGTACATAAAATGTGGCAATCCAAACAATACAAGGGAAGACATATCAGAGTTCAAAAGAGGACAAATTGTTGGTGCATGTCTTGCTGGTGCATCTGTGACCAGGACAGCAAGTCTTAGTGGTGTATCGAGAGCCACGGTATCCAGGATAATGTCGGCATACCATCATGAAGGATGGACTACAACCAGCAGGAGTAACAATGCAAGAGGAAGATGTCTGAATGTCGGGGTACTAAACCGGATTGTATCTGAAAAGATAAAACCACAGCTGACCAACTCACTGCAGAATTAAATACACACCTCCACTCTCCTGTTTCCACCAAAACTGCTGGTTGGAGCTCCACTGGGTCAATATTTGGTGGGGCTGCTATAGCCAAACATTTGGTCACTCATGCCAATATCAGTTTCAATGGTGTCAGCTGTGCAAATCTTGTGAAACATATATTGTTCACTGATGAGTCCACCTTCACTGTCTCTCACATCCAGGAGAGTTACGGTGTGGAGAAGCTCCAAAGAGGCTCACCACCCGGAGTGTTGTGTACCCATCATGCAGCACAGAGGTGGATCAATGATGGTTTGGGCTGAAATACCGTTGCATTCTCTAGGCCCACTACTTGTTCTAGATTGACAAATCACTGCAAAGAATAACAAAACCATTCTGAAGGACCATGTCCACCCAGTGGTTCAAACTTTGTACCCTGAAGGTGGTGCCATGTATCAGGATGATAAAGCAGCAATACACACAGCAAGACTGCTGACAGAATGGTTTGATGAACATGAAAGTGAAGTTGATCTCCCATGGCCTGCAGTCACCAGATCTGAATATTACTGAGCCATTTTGGGATGTTTCGGAGAAGCCGAAATGTTTTCTGCAAATCAGCATCACGTAGCGACCTGGCCACTGTTGCAAGAGGAATGGCTCAAAATCCCTCTAGCCACTCTGCAGGATTTGTGTCTGTCATTCCCAAGACAAAGTGATGCTGTACTGGCCCCAAAAGGAGGCCCTACACCATCCATTTTCTGAAACCACTTAACCCTGACTGGGGTCACGGAGCCCATCCTGGGAACAATGGGTGCAGGTGGGAACCAGCCCTGGGCAGTCGCTAACACACTCACAGGGCTAATTTGGACTCACCAATCAGCCCACCCTGCACACTTTCAGAGGAAACCAGAGCCCCCGGCGAAAACCCACACGAACATGGGGAGAGCGTGTGAACTCCACACAGAAAGGACCTGGGCCTGAACCCAGGACCTTCTTGCTGTGAGGCAGCAGTGCTGACTGCTGTGCCACTGTGCCACCCAACCCTCCACCATACAAATACATTATTGGGATCAAAAACCAGGTGTTTCAGTTTCACTGTGCATTCCCTGTGTACGTATATACATGCATCACATGACACCTGCTCAGCACAGGACCAAAAGATGGTGCAGAGAGTGGTCAAGACAGCACAGAGGATCTCGGGCACACAGCTCCCGTCGGTCCTAGTGAGCAGCATCTTGAGAGACTCCAGCCACCCAACACTGCCCCTCTCCTGCAAGCGCCTATAGTCCATCCACACTCACAACACTGCCCCTCTCCTGCAAGTGCCTATAGTCCATCCACACTCACAACACTGCCCCTCTCCTGCAAGCGCCTTTGCAATGGGACAGCCTTGTCACGCCGCTGTGATGCCTTCTGTCTTGGAGCGCAGCCTTATTAGCAAGCTGCAGCCCCTGAAATTGGACACAGCTATAGTCACTCAGTCAGAGTGAACTGATCAATGCGAGCTAGTTGGTGTCCTTTACCAAGTCAGTCATTGGCTATCTATCATCACGACCATTTTACTGATGCAGTTTACTGGTCTGATTTACAGTCATTTCCTATTTTTCTTATTTTCCAGCTATTGGAGTCAAGTTAAGATTATAGGTCCCATTTGCGGGATGCAATCTCCCTCATGGCATGCACAGTGCATGTGTTGGAAGAGATTCTCTCTTTAACGTCATTGTATCCAATATCCAAATTCCATTGTGTCCATTCAGAGGCAAGTACAAACTCCTTAGGTACATCCTGGACTGGATGCCAGTCCATCACAGGGTATATAGAGCAGTGCGAGGCACAACCAAACACATTTTGGTATTTTTATAAAAGCAACATACACATTTCTGCTACAAATAAACAATTTGGGTTTGTTTCTAGAAACTGGCATTCTTGTACAATTGCACCAAAAAGTGACAGACACAGCTCAGTAAAAACAAGTTATTGATAAAGAAATTTACTTTTCATACTTTTTGCTGTATATCTTCACGAAAACTCGACCAAAAACTCTTATAATTACCCGTTAACCGTCTGCTAGAGATGTGGTTAACTGACCGGAAGCACGCCATGCTGTACCCTGTGCTGCTATGTAAAAGGTCATTGTGACATTTAACCCCACGTTACGTTGTGCCCCGCGCTCCCATACACGCCCTACACACACACACGGGCAACTTAAAGACTGCAGTTCAGCAAACTACATGTCCGCATAAAGCATCAGCGAAGCGACCAGACTCTTACAGAAAACCGTGAGAGGGGGGCTCCGCGTGGTGGCGCTGTGGCTGCCGTTCGTCTGCCGGGCGTACGCGGCGGTACACGAGATGGTCAGCCCGTGATGGAGGTGCGACGCACTAAATTCCAGCGATGAGGTCGCAGTCAAGGTGCCGTCCTCGTTCGTCACCAGCGCTCCGCGGGCGTCTCCCAGAAGCGGCGTCCATATTAAATCAGGCGGCAGGCGGGGACAGGGGGCCGGAGCCGTGCAGGACAGATTGAGAAGGGTGCCCTCCATCACGGCCGCCACCGACACCGGGGACAACCGTGGTTTGGGTGGAGTGTCTGTGGGACAGGAACCCGTGTTGACGCTTCAGAGACAGTATATATATATATATATATATAGACATATTATTCAAAATATTCAGTATTTTTGTCGTTGGGAAATACGCGCAAAACAGTAGGCTAAAATAACTAAGAACCTATCAAATAAAGATCTTGCTAAATACAATTACATTTTCCCCTAGACTAAGCAAACAAGTAAATAACATGTACACGACAAAATGCAACATTCATTTTGAGGAATTCTTGCGACGCCCGTAAAGTTTAAAGATATGTCCAGCATAGTATTCACATAATTCAGCTTCCTGCCCCAAATCATCAGGCTGCTAAAAACTAGCGCCCTGCATCTGTCCTCGCTGTATCAATTGTATTGCATCGTGTTGCAGGCCTACTGCACACTGTTCTCAATATCCAGGCACAGAGTCGGACTAAGTGGGGACTTATGCCCAAACCCTGGCCGTTTTGCATTCATTTCTGGGGGGAGCTTTGATAAACGATGCCACAATTCAAGTATATTCTGATAAATATATTACTGACATTTCGTGAGGAAAATTAATAATAAAATGCATAGTGGAGTGTTTAAGCAGTCTTACGTTTTCAGCCCCACCGGGTCTCTTTCTATTTTTCTACCATCCATCGTTCAAGAAACTTCCAGTGATTGGCCATGGCACGCGCTTAGCTGTGACACCTCCGCGACCGCGCGCTGCGCTCACTCTGAGTCACTCAGCTTTAAACAGCAGGCGGTCAACCTCACGCGCGTGCCGCATATTCCCGCGTTTCTGTATGCAGAGCAATTGTGATCTATTGTGTGTGCGCGTGAGAGAACTCGCTGGTTAACATTCCAAAGCGTTGTTGTAAAATTTTAATGTTATAAAATTATTTTGCTCCCGACCGGCTCAGTCTTAAGCTTGTCATATTATTTTGTTCTTGACCGGCACAACAGCTAAGCGGCCCACTGGGAATTGCCACTCTGGGCCTGTCAATATCCCACGTTTTCCGCACTTTATTAGTAGCCAACTTTCTACCTCTCTGGCTATCTGCACATCCATCCCCAATAAACCACCTATTTATTCCATATTTATTGTTGCATTCCCCATATTTGACTGTATTTTGTCTTGCGCTGTCTCAGCACGTATTGCACTGCTGGTTGTCTTGCCCGCCCCCGTGGCACAATAATTTCACTGTTTCCTAGAATACATCAGACAATAAAAACTTGATATTAAGGTGTCCTTATGTTCAGCTGTCTCTTACCTGTAATTTGTATCAGTGTTTCCGTTGGGAAAGTCATCAGAAATCCACTTTCAATTCTGAAGTAATACTTGTCGGTGTAATTCTGGTGGAGTCCGTCGAGGATGGTGGTGCAGTTCTTCTGCAATAGGTCTCCGATAATCTCGCCGTGAAGCAAGTTGCGGCTGCGGGAGGAGGTGAACACATCGACGCTGCCTGTGAACCACGGCGAGCCTTTCCTCCACACCCCGCCTGCCGGTTTACTCAGCTGTCCAAGGTAATTATCAGGCAAATCAAAACCGCAAGGGATGAGCAGGCAGGAATCCTCCAGGGCATCCAAGTGAGTGGGCACCCAAAGAGACCACTCAGCGCACCGGACACCTGAAACCGGGGCAAAGGTTGTAATCAGTGCAACTATTAACATGCGTTCAATGCAACCGTTAATATATGCACTCAAACGAAACTCTTAAAAAGACCCTGCATCTTAAAAGCGGAAGGGCAAGATCTACAGGAACATGAAAATGAAATCTTATTCAACAGCAGCTGGTTCCAACAGCCCAAGCAATTGTTGTATGAATAGTATTGTTATTGTTATTATTATTGATGTAATTATGATTGTCATTGTTATACTTATAGTTTAACTTACTATTAGCACATAAATAATAAATTCAAAATATTGTCTCACTAAACGAGTTCAAATGCCGAAAATAATAATTTCATTTGATGCAGATTAACGAAATATGACCTACCGGAAAGCAAAAAGCTGAGAAGTAGAAGTCGAAGATTTCCCCCCATGTTTTAATATCTACGACGATCAGCGTTTAGCTTCTCCGTGTGGAAAAATGATCAGGGAATGGGGACAATAATCTCCACGTTATTTTCGCAGGAATGAACTGGGTGGGTCATCTGATTTAGTTTCTTAATTTTCTGCAATATCTCGGGACTTGACAGCATGAACACTTATCAATACATTCAAGTTAATTTATTATCGTATGTTCTCTTATTATTATTATTATCATTATTATTATTATTATTATTATTATTATTATCATTATTAAGCTTCTTACCTGAAAACATCCTTCATAAAAGGTGAATAATAGGCATAAATATAATACGTGTCTTCCTTACAGTTGTCGACCGCTGACTCGATGACAAGTAAGCTTTTTTTAGACACCGAGCTGTCGGGAAATTGCAGTTCTGCATTCATTAATCGTAGTGCCCTGACTAATTTAAGAATAGTTTTAAGAGGAAGCATAGCACTACAGAAATTCGTGTGCATTAAAGAACTAGAATTAGAACTTTTCGAGTTCATTGTCATTCAATTGCCCTATGAAACTCGAGACCACTTTATTGTATTAGGGTGTACCGTATAATACTAATAGAATAACGAGTTTATGTGGTTGCAATAATATGAACCGCATTTTCCGGGTGCCCTGATTGTCACACACAACAACCAATAGAATCAAGGGCGGGTTTTTAAATGCAAAACGCCTGACCAATAAGAATAGGCTTCAGACACGTGGGCTGCCAACGTGACAATGTGAAACACATGAGAGTAAACGCTGCGGGGTATAACTGTTCATGCTGTTTATTACAAATGTTTTGTTAAATATTTCAACATAACTTTACCTGTTTATGTTTCTGTATGTGCTAAAGAGGAACGCTTCGAATTGCAGTCTTTTCTGTATACGTTTTATTTTAAAAGGTAAGTATATGCGGACTAGTCAAGGATAAATATGAACTAGCCTAGGTAGTGTTTTTGTATGTCGGTATCAGGATAGGGATGAATATAAAATGTACGTATTGTTGCTTTTGATTCTACACAATAAAGGCGACTAAATGAAACTGTTCATTGTTTTTACGTACGTCATGCAGCTAGTTATCCGCCCATGTTATTTTCAAGACATAATGCTGTAAGTAGCCGTAGCATTAGCATTTATGTGAAATTATTATTGAGGATTGATATATATAGTATTATACAGGACATTCGTTAGTCTTTTTCTGATGTTAATGTGTTAAGCTTTGTTGACTAGCTAAACGTATTTAATCTTTTAGAATAGTGTAATGATTTGTCAGGAGTATCCAGTTATATTAGTTATATTTCTGAAGCATTTCCTAGGCAGTATTTGTAAGTTGTGTTTGTCTTAAATTAACATTTAACTCCCTGTTTGTTCCCTACAGGGCTGTCAAAGTTGGGTTCTCTCATCCTCTAGTCCAGCTAGGGGACGCTACTTGTGTTACGAACCATCTGTCACCTCACTGTCTTTGAACACATATTAGCAGATATATGGTCCAGCAATTTAATCGTATGTACAAGATCTCTCAACCTTATATGTTTTTCAAAGTAGCTGCAGTCCAGCACGTCAACTCATTTGGGAATCAGGTGTCATCAGTCCAACTTTGGCCCCCTGTGTGGTGGAGCCAACTTTGCCCGTGCTTTGCAATTCTCTTCAAGAAAGGACTGACAAATCTGTTCAGTTTCCATTTCAGTCCTGAACTGCTGACCGCATCCTTTATTTTTTCCCTGTTCCCTGTTGTCTTTTTGCAGTATTCACATTCAAGATGCACTGTGTTCAGGTGTTCCCATGAAATCCTTGTTTAATAATATAGATACTAGATTATGCTTAATAACTTTGTGTATGAGTATATGATGGCTAAAAAATAAGTATGTTTGTTTAATCACCTAAGTCGGGCATATAAGTAAAACCATGCATCTTAATTGAATGTTATGCTAACAGTTTAAAGAGCCAATCCCCTTGACAAACTCTAGGTGGTCCTCTCATATGTAAAGGTCATGCCTCGGTCAAAAGAGACCCCCGAGGATGTCAGAATGAGTGTTGTAAATGCTCACCAGTCTGGAGAGGGTTATAAAACCATCGCCAAACGCTTCGGGATTCATCGGTCCACCGTACGACAAATAGTCTACAAGTGGAAAAAATTTAAGACAACAGAGACTCTACCTAGATGTGGCCGTCCGACAAAGTTATCCCAGAGAGCACTAAGGAAGATCATCCAGGATGTGCAAAAGAACCCCAAGACCACATCCAAGGATCTGCAGGCCTCACTTGCTGCAGCTGATGTCTACGTTCATGACTCGACTATACGACGCAGGCTGAATAGCAGAGATGTACATCAAAGGTTATCCAACAGGAAAGCTTCCCTCTCGAAGAAGAATACTGACATCAAGTTAGGAAAAACTTGCCAGCATGACCTCAGCACATGGGACAAGCAGGTAAAAGCTGGAGAAACCTTCCAAGAGTGTGGGCCGCTGGACCAGCCCATCAACGTGCAAAACACCTGTGATGAAGACCAAGAGAAACTTGCAAAACAAGGTCCTAACTCAAAAACGTAGAAGCCACAGGTGGAGTTATATAACAAGATATGAAATTAATGCCATTGTGTATCAGTGACTGAGGGATGCATTGTATGACCCCTAAAGATGCAAGTTGTCACAGTAAACATTGTGCTTAACTTTGTTCCAAGTGTGTTATTAGTAAATCAATCAATTTAAGTGAACTTGCTGGTTGAGTAATTCTTTTTCTATTGGGACGGAGGCACTTGCATATTTCACTTAGAAAACATTGTTTTGGTGGTTGAGTATGACTACACCAATTAGGTCAGTTGACTGAAGATACATATTTGCTGTACTGTTGGAGAAATTAACTATTAAAATAGTAGTGTCCCTAAGTGAGGACTTCAAAGACCTTTGCTATGAGGATTCTTTCCCTGCTGCACAAAATATTCAAATGGTGGGGGTCTCCCACTGTAAAATATGCAAAATGCTGAAAATCAACCCCCTTCCTCCATTTCACCTGTTCAGGATCTCCTGTAAAGTGCTTGGCCCCCTAATTCTGCCAGGGGATCCATGCCCCTACTGTGCCCCTGTGTGATATAGCTTCAAAGGGGGTGTGGTTTGTTTACATTTTTAGGGGAAGTACTGCATATTCACATAATTACTTATTTTTAGGATTATGAAACATCTTTAGATTTCTCTGATTACAGAATGAGATGCAAGTAGTGTCCATTGCAAGTAGAAAAAAATGCATTTCTAATCGGCTAGTAAAAAAAGGAGAAACCATGCAGTACCTACTCAGCCCCACTGGGAGAGGAAAAAAACGCATTTGAAATTGTTAGCCCACTGTGTGGTTACCCTTAACTGATGTAAAGGAAGTTGAAGTCACCACATTCCATGTCTCATGGCTACAAAACAGGCCTCCAGCTCAATTGTGGTGAAGGACTTTCCTCTTTGTCAAACGTACTTTTGATATCTCTGTGCAGCAGTCATATTTTTGTACTTAGAAAGGGGAAGAGAAACCGTGGTATTTCCACCACTGTGCACATACTGCTGTTTCAAAGGTGCAAGGGTAAAAGAATGCAACAAGAATGCTTTATTAAGTGTATCAGATCTTTCTTTCAAACACGTTCAAATCTATAATGGGTGAATTTTTCTGGTTTCATCAGTCGCTTTCTGGCTAAAAATAGCATAAGCCAGATGACAAAATTGCATAATTAGGATTATAGTGCACAGCAATCCCATCTGCGCTGGGTCTCCAAATACCTTTTACACTATTGCAGTTTAAATCATGTCACATGACCGTCACAAGGAAGCCAACAGTGACACTTGATAAACAAGAAGCAGGTCTGAGAGTAGGAGCCCCCAAGCCGTGAAAATGATGTTTCCTGTTTCACCAAACTCTCACATGTTGAGTAGTTTATTTGTATAGCCAGGCAGCACAAAGTGCTTCACATCACAACAGACAGAGCCAATAGAATTTCACTTTAGGTTTATAAAATACTTCTTCCTATTCTTCACTCATTCTTATACTGCAATGTTGTCTGTTATTTCATGACTGTTTGCTCTACTGTCCACCCTTTATCTGTCCTCTCCTCTGCAGCTGTCTTCCTCTGAACATACATGGCAATAAAACTCTTTACCCTCACTAGTTCATTGTCTGCTACTGACCATTAAAGTTTTTTTTTGATTGTCACAACTGGATGCTGTTGCTTTTTATGTATTATACAATGCAGCCTAGAAAGCATCTCAAAACCAGCCGCCCGAGAGTCGAAGCATGAACAGGAAAATCTCTATTATCTGTGCAAACGGTAGCTAAATTCGTCGAGTCTCTTTCTTTAAAAACTAAAAAACGATGTTTGTCTTAACAAAGGTAACGGAAGCACAAATTTCTTCTTTGCGTTTGTACAGCTTGTAAATCGTAATTCAATATTTTGCTCACTCCGAGCTCCCTGCTAGACAGTTATATGTACCTCGTCACTTGTAATGTTGGTAAAATCAGTTGTATTTTCTTTTTTTAGACAACAGGGGGCATTCTCGTTCAGCTAATATTTAAAACACCAGCTTGTTTGTTCTCCGCTTTACGCCAGCTCCGCTAGAGGTGCTGTTTGCTTGATGATTGCTGTAGCACATAATGCATCTGAGTGTGGAGAATAAAACATCCGGTTACCCACTTCTGACTACACTTTCCCTTATGCAAAATCGTGTTGAGATTATTTGCGAATCTATGGATTGTAGAAAAGGTTTAATTACGTGTGCTGTCAGGGGATGCCATATTAACTGGTACAAACAAAAAAGACTGAGAAAGAATGTCACAACTATGAACCGCTTGCCAGTGTTTTGGGTGTCCGGTGTTCTGACGATCCAGACGTGTTATCGAGCCTTTCTGCGCATGTGCAGTTCCACCGTCTTGGGATTAGGGTTAGGTTTTAGGGGTTAGGTCAGGGGTGCCCAACTGCAGTCCTGGAGAGCCGGAGCCCTGTGTAGGTTAGTTCTTTCCCTGTTCCACCATAAACGATTCAGCTCAAGAGCTGTGTGGTAATTAGCACAAGGAGTTGAATCATGTGTGTTAAATGAGGGGAAACCCAAAAATGTGCAGGGCTCTGGCCTTCCAGGACTAGAGTTGGGCACTCCTGGGGTAGGGTAAGGGTTTTAGGGTTTAGGGCTTTAAAAGGGATAGAGCTGATACATATGGTTGAGCTTCTTCCTGTACATGCTGAATGTATGTCAGATGGTCGCTCCCTGATTGCAATCTGTCAGAGAATAAACTGGTGACCTGCAACTTCTCCACGTGTCAGCTGTGAATCTCTTCACGCGGTGGAGACTGCTTACTCCAACAATTGTCAACAATACAATTTGCTGTTATTCACAGTAAAAAGCAATGCGGCATTACTGTAAATAACGAAGAGATACACGGACTCAGAGGTGCCGTTGTTATTGCTCCCTTTAATGCATTTGCAGCAGGTAAACAGTTCAGCTTCGCGCGCGCTTCGTACATACTAGTGCTCTCTGGTATGAACAAACTACATTACCCATAAAGCCCTTGGTAATACCTGATACGGTGGCTTCACCAGCCCAAAATACACAACAGTAAATAAAGCTAATTTTGATTCTTATGTCCAATGTTAAACTGAATCCAGCCCCTACACTGTCACCCTCGTCACTAACACTCCAATTGCGCGTGCACGTGCATTCTCAGATTCAATGAAGTGTTGCCGAAACCCACAAGTGGTCTCCCTATGTTTGGGGAAAAAAGTTCGAAGATGCGAAACACGGTCCGACACAGTATGGGGAATTCATGAAGCTTTATCGGCTCATCACTAGTTTGTGGCTAAAAACGGAATTAAAGGAAGGAAAAATAGTTCTGCAATTCAGTTATATCGGTATTCCAAAATAAGGTGAATACAGGTAAAAAAAAAAAAACATTCTAATGAACCACTGGATACTTGTTCCTGTTTTGTGCGTGTGTATATACCCACACACACACATACATACATACATACATACATATCTTAAAATTTGGACTCTATAAATTAGGATTTTGTTATCTTGTTCATTTGACTTCCTTTGCTGCCCCCTGGTGGATGGGCTCCCCCTTTGAGTCTGGTCTCAGTGTTTTGAGATAATGAAATATGAAAACAGGCTATATACTGTAAATGAAACTGAATTGAATCTATGTATCAGAGTGTGTGTGTGTACAGCTCTGGAAAAAAATCGAGACCACTCCATATTTTTCAAAAAATACATTCAATTTTCTGCAAAAGCTTGTCCTACTCTGGGTCGTGGGTCCGGAGCCTTTTTAAAAATATGCTCCTTTAATCCTGGTTTTATCCTGGTTCTGCTGCCAGAAGGCCACACTGTGCAGCAGTTTGCTTCCAGGCTCAAACTTTCTAAGACAGCAGTACTCAAGAACAAATTGAAGCATGAGACACTGGCAATGACCTAAAACCAGCCTGGTAGAGGGCAGAAGCAACTTTCTAATGCCAGAGATGACTGCCAATTTATCCAACAGTGCCTCATACATTGGATGATGACCTCATGTGACCTTCAAAAAGAATGGAGGACATAAAGGGGTGTGAAGTGCACTACCAGGACAGTTAACACTGTTAGGACTCCCCTTATAGACCCATAAAGCCAGGAAGAAGCCCATCAATGTGAAGCAGTGAAGAGCCAGGTTGGAGTCTGAAAAAAAATGTGTATTTTACACAGATGCATTAACATAAATTGAGAAATAAGTGAAACTAAAAATGTTGCTTGTGGTTTCTTAATTTTTTAAGGGTACATCAGCTATAAATTGTACTCATGTAGGAATTATTAGCTCAGGTAATTTTTAATATCTCCACCAATATGTTTGAAATTAATTAAAGTTTAATTAATTATTATTTACTGCTAATTATTAACCAATTGTTATGCCGAATGGTCGGCTCCTCCAAACTCAATTGCAGTATCCCTGTGGGTCTGTTAATGTAAGACTTAAATGGGATTCACTAATTACCAATATCGCTTAGTAACCTGGGTTAGAAGGCTCGTCCAGCGAGCTGCATCACCAGGTAATGTACACGATTGGTAGCGAAGCTCCCCTCACGACCAATGAGAGAGAGTCTCGCGATATTTCAGGCGAGTTTGAGGTTTCAGAGCATGTAGCAAGATCGCACAGAGGCAGGGACTATTGTGAGCACTCAATGAACGGAGGCTGAAGTTGTGTAAAAGACATGCATCCTAACACACTACAACTAACATAAGACAGACATTACACTTAAGACAAACAACAAACACGAAATAACGGAATAGAAACAAACAATGTAAATATTGAAATGCAATGACCGGATTTAAGTGAGTAACTTTAAAAAGGAAATACTGTTCTGCAAAGCAAGCCCAGTTTGTGGAAACACGACCCTAAAGTCATATAGCAGGTTAACAGAACAGCTTAAGTTGTTAGAATGAAAGGAAGTTGGTTTACTTGGCTGCTGAGTAGGGGGGGGGGTCTTGGCAGTTGGTTGCAGAGCTGATGAGCTGATGGGATGATGGTGAGGGAATATTTCTATAAGGGGAAATTGAGGGAATGATTCTATAAGGCTGTAACTAATCGAAACGAGAGCTGACTGGCGCGCCGGCAAGGCAAGGCTACCTAATCGGAACAGATAGAGGGGGCGACAGAGAACGTCAGCGGCCCCTACTTATCTTTTAGCCTTCCAGAAGGACAAGTACTAACCGACTAACTAGAGTAAATGTCAAACATGTGGTTGTCACGTAGACGGAAGGTACTGAGAAAGGGGGGGGGGGGAGATGCCCAAAGGGCTTTAAAAGGGATACAGCTGATACATATGGCAGAGCCTCCTCCTGTACATGCTGAATGTATGTCAGACGGCCGCTCCCTGATTATAATCAGTGAAGAGAATAAACCGGTGATTTGCAACTTCTCTCCGTGTCAGCTGTGAATCTCTTCTCATCCACGGACCGGGTGGAGACGGCGTACTCCAACAATGGCACTCAGGAAGGCGCGGCGTTTGGAGCAGTGGAGTGGAGCCCCTTGGATTCTCTCTCCTGGTGAAGCTTTGTCTTGGTTGCAGTTCTCTGTCTAGCTGGGCCTTCACCGGAGGGCTTCTTGTGGGCTTCTCTTCTCCTGGGCTGATGTTCTTTCTGCTCCTTCGGCTGATGGTCTTTCCTGCTCCCGATAATCTTTCTCCCCTTCTCTTTCTGAGGTGCCAGGTTTTTATGGTCTAAAGTTCATGAATAGGGATGACCAGGAATTCGACTCCTGGCCC